CTCGAGTCCACTAACACCCAGGATGTCATCCAAACCAGTCAACTAACACCAAGGATGTGAACCACACCAGTCCACTAACACCCAGGATGCCACCCACACCAGTCCACTAACAACCAGGATGTTACCTACACCAGTCCACTAACACCCAGGATGCCACTCACACCAGTCCACTAACACCCACGATGTGACCCACACCAGTCTACTAACACGCAGAATGTGACCCAAACTAGTCTACTTACACCCAGGATGTGACCCACATCAGTCCATTAACACACAGGATGTGACCCACAGCAGACCACTAACTCCCAGGATGTGGCCCACACCAGTCCACTAACACCCAGGATGTGACTCACACCAGTCCAATAACACCCAGGGTGCCACCCACATCAGTCCACTAACACCAAGGATGTGACCCACACCAGTCCACTAACATCCAGGATGCGGCCCACACAAGTCCACTAACACACAGGATGTGACCCACACCAGTTCATTAACACCCAGGATGTGACCCACACCAGTCCAATAACACCCAGGGTGCCACCCACATCAGTCCACTAACACCAAGGATGTGACCCACACCAGTCCACTAACATCCTGGATGCGGCCCACACAAGTCCACTAACACACAGGATGTGACCCACACCAGTCCACTAACACCCAAGATTTGACCCACTCCAATCCACTAACACCAAAGATGTGACCCACACCAGTCCACTAACATGGAAGATGTGACCCACACTAGTCCCCTAACACCCAGGAAGTGACCCACACCAGTTCACTAACACTGGATGAGACCAATACCTGTCCACTAACACCCAGGATGTGACCCACACCAGTCCACTAACACCCAGGATGTGACCAACACCAGACCACTAGCACCCAGGACGCGACCAACACCAGTCCACTAACACCCAGGATACCACCCACACCAGTCCACTAACACCCAGGATGTAAACCACACCTGTCCACTAACACCAAGGATGCCACCCACACCAGTCCACTAACACCCAGGATGTGACCCACACCAGTCCACTAACACCCACGATGTGACCCACACCAGTCCACTAACACCCAGGACGTGATCCACAGTAGTCAATTAACATCCAGAATGTGACTCACACCAGTCCAGTAACACCCAGGATGCCACCCACACCAGTTCACTAAGAAACTGGATGTCATCCACACCAGTCCACTAACACCCAGGATGTGATCCACACCAGTCCACTAGCACCCTGGATGTGACCCACACCAGTCCACTAACACCCAGGATTTAACCCACTCCAATCCACTAACACCAAAGATGTGACCCACACCAGTCCACTAACATGCAAGATGTGACCCACACTAGTCCCCTAACACCCAGGAAGTGACCCACACCAGTTCACTAACACTGGATGAGACCAATACCTGTCCACTAACACCCAGGATGTGACCCACACCAGTCCACTAACACCCAGGATGCGACCAACACCAGACCACTAGCACCCAGGACGCGACCAACACCAGTCCACTAACACCCTGGATACCACCCACACCAGTCCACTAACACCCAGGATGTGAACCACACCTGTCCACTAACACCAAGGATGCCACCCACACCAGTCCACTAACACCCAGGATGTGACCCACACCAGTCCACTAACACCCAGGATGTGACCCACACCAGTCCACTAACACCCAGGATGTGACCCACACCAATCCACTAACACCCAGGATGTGACCCACACCAGTCCACTAACACCCAGGATGTGATCCACACCAGTCCACTAACGCCCAGTACGTGACCCACACCAGTCCACTAACACTCTGGATGTGACCAACACCTGTCCACTAACACCCAGGATGTGACCCACACCAGTCCACTAACACCCAAGAAGTGACCCACACCGGTCCACTAACACCCAGGATGTGACCCACACCAGTCCACTAACACCCAGGATGTGACCCACACCAGTCCACTAACATCCAGGATGTGACCCACATCACTTAACTAACACCCAGGATGTGACCCACACTAGTCCACTAACACACAAGACGTGACCCACACCAGTCCACTAACACCCAGGATGTGACCCACACCAGTCCTCTAACACCCAGGGTGTGACCCAGACCAGTTCACTAACACCCAGGATGTGACCCACACCAGTCCACTAACACCCAGAATGCCACATACACCAGTCCACTAACACCCAGGATGTGAACCACACCAGTCCACTAACACCCAGGATGCGACCCACACCAGTCCACTAACACCCAGGATGTGACCCACACCAGTCCACTAACACCCAGGATGCGACCCACACCAGTCCACTAACACACAGGATTTCCCCCCACACATCCACTAACACCCAGGATGCCACCCACACCAGTCCACTAACACCCAGGATGCCACCCACACCATCCACTAACACCCAGGATGCCACCCACACCAGTCCCCCTAAAAAACCCCGGATGCCACCCACACCATCCACTAACACCCAGGATGCCCCCACACCAGTCCACTAACACCCAGGAGGCCACCCACACCAGTCCACTAACACCCAGATGCCACCCACCAGTCAACTAACACCCAGGATGCCACCCACACCATCCCACTAACACCCAGGATGCCACCCACAAACCCGTCCACTAACACCCAGGATGCCACCCACACCAGTCCACTAACACCCAGGATGTGACCCCACACCAGTCCACTAACACCCAGGATGTGACCCACACCAGTCCACTAACACCCAGGGTGCCACCCACACCAGTCCACTAACACCCAGGAAAGCCACCCACACCAGTCCACTAACACCCAGGATGTGACCCACACCAGTCCACTAACACCCAGGATTGCCACCCACACCAGTCCACTAACACCCAGGATGCCCCCCAAACAAACCAGTCCCCTAACACCCAGGATGCCACCCACACCAGTCCACTAACACCCAGGATGCCACCCACACCAGTCCACTAACACCCAGATGTGACCCACACCAGTCCACTAACACCCAGGAATGCCACCCACACCAGTCCACTAACACCCTGATGCCACCCACACCAGTCCACTAACACCCCGGATGCCACCCACACCAGTCCACAAACACCCAGGATGCCCCCCACACCAGTCCACTACCACCCAGGATGGCCAGACACCCCCAGTCCACAACACCCAGGATGCCACCCACACCAGTCCACTAAACCCAGGATGTGACCCACACCAGTCCACTAACACCAGGATGTGACCCACACCAGTCACAACACCCAGGATGCGACCCACACCAGTCCACTAACACCCAGGATGCCACCCCCACCAGTCCACTACACCCCAGGATATAACCCACACCGTCCACTAACACCCAGGATATAACCCACACCAGTCCACTAACACCCAGGATGCCACCCACACCAGTCCACTAACACCCAGGATGCCACCCTCACCAGTCCCTAACACCAGGATGCCACCCACACCGTCCACAACACCCAGGATGCCACCCACACCAGTCCACTAACACCCAGGATGCCACCCACACCAGTCCACTAACACCCAGGATGCCACCCACACCAGTCCACTAACACCCAGGTACCCATTATACTGATGGGTGAACATAGACAACCAGCGTAAGGAAATCCGTCCATGTTTCCACCCTCTCTGGGTATCAAACTCGGCGTGTGAAGAGAGAACTGTAGCACTGTGTGGATTACATTGGAAGAATACAAGGTAACTACAGATATTTGTAATCTCAAACTGGAAAATACATAAAACCTTCGAAAACAGAATAGAAAAAACGCAGAATTACATTAAAACTGCAAACAGAAATTATAGAAAACGCAGAATTACATTAAAACTGCAAACAGAAATTATAGAAAACGCAGAATTACATTAAAACTGCAAACAGAAATTATAGAAAACGCAGAATTACATTAAAACTGCAAACAGAAATTATAGAAAACGCAGAATTACATTAAAACTGCATACAGAAATTATAGAAAACGCAGAATTACATTAAAACTGCAAACAGAAATTACAGAAAACGCAAATTACATTAAAACTGGGAACATAAAATACAAAAAATTAAACTACATTAAAATTACAGAGATTACATTAAACACATCAACATCAAACCTTCAGATTACATTAAACACATCAACATCAAAACTTCAGATTACATTAAACACATCAACGTCAAAACTTCAGATTACATTAAACACATCAACGTCAAAACTTCAGATTACATTAAACACATCAACATCAAAACTTCAGATTACATTAAACTACAGATTACATTAAACTACAGATTACATTAAACACATCAACGTCAAAACTTCAGATTACATTAAACACATCAACATCAAACCTTCAGATTACATTAAACACATCAACGTCAAAACTTCAGATTACATTAAACACATCAACGTCAAAACTCGATTCCATTAAACCATCAACATCAAACTCGATTACATTAACTACAGATTACATTAAACTAATTACATTAAAAACATCAACATCTAAACTACAGATTACATTAAACTACAGATTACATTAAACTACAGATTACATTAAACTACAGATTACATTAAACTACAGATTACATTAAACTACAGATTACATTAAACTTCAGATTACATTAAACACATCAACGTCAAAACTACAGATTACATTAAACTACATAAAACATACACAGCAGAAATACAACAATAATACAACATACAATAATGTATTTAGTGTTTATCAGAACATTTCTCCAGCCTTGAGGCTTGACAAAGACTTCTGATCCAAGGAAACAGAGCTGTCCTCTCCCTTGGATCAGACCTGGCTTACCTTCTAATGGCTGGGCACTTTAAAACCCTTAGGGGTTTATCGCTTCCCCTTGTTATTATTATTATTATTATTATTATTATTATTATTATTATTATTATTATTATTATTATTATTATTATTATTAATATTATTATTATTATTATTATTATTAGAATTATTATTATTATTATTATTAAAACTGCTTTTAAATACTTACTGTCACTGTCCAAGCCTTGAGTGTCACTGTCCAAGCCTTGAGTGTCACTGTCCAAGCCTCGGGTGTCACTGTCCAAGGCTTGAGTGTCACTGTCCAAGCCTTGAGTGTCACTGTCCAAGCCTCGGGTGTCACTGTCCAAGGCTTGAGTGTCACTGTCCAAGCCTTGAGTGTCACTGTCCAAGCCTTGAGTGTCACTGTCCAAGCCTCGGGTGTCACTGTCCAAGGCTTGAGTGTCACTGTCCAAGCCTTGAGTGTCACTGTCCAAGCCTTGAGTGTCACTGTCCAAGCCTTGAGTGTCACTGTCCAAGCCTCGGGTGTCACTGTCCAAGGCTTGAGTGTCACTGTCCAAGCCTTGAGTGTCACTGTCCAAGCCTTGAGTGTCACTGTCCAAGCCTTGAGTGTCTCTGTCCAAGCCTTGAATGTCACTGTCCAAGCCTTGAGTGTCACTGTCCAAGCCTTGAGTGTCACTGTCCAAGCCTTGAGTGTCACTGTCCAAGCCTTGAGTGTCACTGTCCAAGCCTTGAGTATCACTGTCCAAGCCTTGACTGTCACTGTCCAAGCCTTGAGTGTCACTGTCCAAGCCTTGAGTGTCACTGTCCAAGCCTCGGGTGTCACTGTCCAGGCCTTGAGTGTCACTGTCCAAGCCTTTAGTGTCACTGTCCAAGCCTCGGGTGTCACTGTCCAAGCCTCGGGTGTCACTGTCCAAGACTTGCGTGTCACTGTCCAAGCCTTGAGTGTCACTCTCCAAGCCTTGAGTGTCACTGTCCAAGCCTCGGGTGTCACTGTCCAAGCCTTGAGTGTCACTCTCCAAGCCTTGAGTGTCACTGTCCAAGCCTCGGGTGTCACTGTCCAAGCCTTGAGTGTCACTGTCCAAGCCTTGAGTGTCACTGTCCAAGGAACGCGTCAGCCTTGAATCTGAAAGGAATATATATATATATATATATATATATATATATATATATATATATATATATATATATATATATATATATATATATATATATATATATATATATATATATATATATATATATATATATATATATATATATGTATGTATTTTATATATATATATATATATATATATATATATGGTTTAGAAAGACACGTAAGCAAACACTATAACATATTTATTAGAAAACGTTTCGGTCCTGGGACCTTGATCACTTCTAACATACAGAGGTAGAAAGACATTATATATATAGGCGGAGAGTGAGATGTGACGCACGTGACCTGAGGAATGTCATAAGAACATAAGAATGGAGGAACACTGTAGAAGGCCTACTAGCCCATGCGAGGCAGGTCCTTATCAAAACAACCTCTGCCTATGAGGACGGGTAGACGATGAAATCATGTGACTCCTGTCTTGTTGGGTTGGTGCTGCTTAAGTATCATGTATGCCAATGTTTTTGAAATTTTGTAGTTTCCAGTGTTACGTTCTATAGTGTCGGTGACGGCGATTAGTGAGGCTTCTAGGCACCGTCGGCGTCTGAGGTCTGGTTCGGTGAGAACGAGTTGTGCCTCGTTCCAGTTCATCAAATGCCCCGTGGAGTCTCTGTGGAGGACACAGGCGTACCTTACATCGTCTCTGTTAGAGGCATTTCGATGCTCATTCAGGCGGACTGCAAGATCTCTGCCTGTCTCGCCTACATATTTCTTGGGACAGAACCCACAGGGGATAGTGTAGACGCCTGCTGTAGAAGTTAGAGGTGTGGGGCTGCGTTTCGTAGTGAGGTCTTTGATAGAGGATGTGTTTATGGTGGAAACGTTGATGTTACTCATAGTAAGTGCCCGGCGAGTGTTCGTGGCAACGTCGCCACATGGGAGTACTATGAACTGTTTAGGGGGCTGTTCCATGGGCGGTTTGTTGAGGATAGCTTGTGCCTTGAGTCTGCAATCTCGGATGAAGAAAGATGGGAACTGAAGACGTGTAAAGGCTTGTGTTATGTAAGTGCATTCTTCTTCTAGAAAACAAGGGCTGGAGATGCGAAGAGCTCTCAAGAAGAAGCCAATGAGGACTCCTCTCTTAGTGCGGGAGTCTTGGTGTGAATAAAAGTGTATAAGATCGTCCTTGTTGGTAGGTTTTCTATACACTTTGAAGAGAAGTTTGTCACTGTCGGGAGATCTGCACAGTAGAACGTCGAGGAAAGGAAGTTTGCCATCATTTTCGAGTTCAAGGGTAAACTTTATTGATGGTTCAACTGCATTGATCTTGTTGAGAAGGGCCTGGATATTGAGACGTCTCGGATAGAAAACCAATATATCATCAACGTATCTTAGCCAGGTAACGGTGTTGGGAATGAGGCTGCTGAATTTCTCTGTCTCCAAGTTTTCCATGAAGAGGTTGGCAAGCACAGCACTGAGCGGGCTGCCCATTGCCATCCCAAAGCATTGTTTGTAACAGTTGTCCTGATACTTGAAGAAGTTGAAATTAACACACAGTTCCACTAGATTGATGAAATCTAGTTTGAAGTGATCAAGGTCCCAGGACCGAAACGTTTTCTAATAAATATGTTATAGTGTTTGCTTACGTGTCTTTCTAAACCAACTTGTCGGTATTTTTTACCAAGGTTTATACCATCTTGTCTGACACTGCAACACACTATGGACATAGCATACAGAGAATACCTTTCTCTCCTACTCAAAGCTAATAGTCTTCGGAACCGACACATCTTCCTAGAAGACTGTATTGCTGAGATGGTGGTACCACGGTCCACTCCTCGACAACTAACCACATCTAGACACCCTTTCTCTCCTGCTGTTTACGCCTACCTTAGAGAAAGCTCTGATGAACTGCGACATGCTCAGAAGGAGGCCTCATTACGTGCCGCTCAGATTCGTGCTTCACTTCCTACTCCTGACAGAAGGACTGCAGAATATATACTCAGCCAAGTTACCACTGCCAACATCCAACAGAAATTGAAGCTATCACGAAAACTACAAGACCTGTGTTCCCACAGCAAATGGAGCGAAATGGGACGACCAGAAATCATAAATAACTTATCTTCCTATACACTAACCGTCACTGAGACAGAAGCCCTCAGCCTAGGGCTCAAGTTTACTACTGGCATCAACAAGAAACATAATCTGGTGGATATGGTAACCAAGAACCAACCTTTTGGAGACTCCGAGTTTCAAAAGGGCTTTGTCCAAGGAATTATCACTGCTGCAGCTACTGAGCCTTCAAGACCGGTCATTCCCAGAAGATACATCCAAGCACTCAGGAACTTGGCCAACAACGATGATATCGTCATTACAACCGCTGACAAAGGAGGTGGTGTGGTGTTACTCAACACTGTCGACTACAACAATAAAGTCTTAAATCTTCTCAACGATGCCAACACATACCAGCCTGTATCGGAATCAGTGCTACTTCAAAGTACCCAGACTTTCCTTCAAAAGGCTCGTAGCATCTTACGAAAATCAGAACAAGGCAAAAAACTACTTAAACTTTTACCAGGTCAACCGAAACCAGCACGCCTGTATGGCCTTCCTAAGACACACAAACCTGACATCCCACTACGGCCTATCACTTCGGGCATAGGGAGTGCACCACACAGACTAGCCGGCCACCTTGCCAAATACCTTTCAGCGCTTCTGGGCACCATCAGTCAAGCCCACCTCAAACACTCAGGTGACCTTCTCTCCCGAATTTCCAACCTGAATGCCAAAAACAAAAGCATGGCTTCCTTCGATGTCACAGCCCTCTTTACCAACGTTCCTACTGACGCTGCAATCAACATTCTGAGACAGAGGCTCACTGAAAACCACGACCTCCCTTTACCTCTTCTAGATTTCATCAATCTAGTGGAACTGTGTGTTAATTTCAACTTCTTCAAGTATCAGGACAACTGTTACAAACAATGCTTTGGGATGGCAATGGGCAGCCCGCTCAGTGCTGTGCTTGCCAACCTCTTCATGGAAAACTTGGAGACAGAGAAATTCAGCAGCCTCATTCCCAACACCGTTACCTGGCTAAGATACGTTGATGATATATTGGTTTTCTATCCGAGACGTCTCAATATCCAGGCCCTTCTCAACAAGATCAATGCAGTTGAACCATCTATAAAGTTTACCCTTGAACTCGAAAATGATGGCAAACTTCCTTTCCTCGACGTTCTACTGTGCAGATCTCCCGAGAGTGACAAACTTCTCTTCAAAGTGTATAGAA